TTTCAGGTGGTTTGTTTCTCCACTGATGATTATTAACTCTAAGTTTGTGTATTTGTGAATAACCAAACTCCAACACTCATTTTCCAGGCACTAGGGAGAACTAGAATTGGTTTCATGTAAATCAACAATGTGCATTTCCCATCCACTAAAAACAGTCAAATCCTATTCTTTCAAAATAGGGATGCAGTCAAATCCTTTTCTTTCAAAAGGGGAAAACCAGAAGGCTTGAAACATGCTTTTTTCTATTACTTATCTTTTTCTAAGTACTTAGCCATGCTTTAATTTTTGATGTATAGAAGTGGTATTTTCATGGCTGAGGTGGTTTGTTTTCTGCAAAGTTTAGGGTTTATTCAACGAATTCAGAATATTTCTAGTTAAGACCAATAAAATGTTTGCCCTATCTGGTCCATCAAAATTATGATAATATAATTGAGATATTGGCTATTTGCCACTAAAATGAATCATAAAGACTAGTAAAAAACCCTACAAAATAAGAAGACTATCTGAATCCATGCAGTTGAGCATGAACCACCATTTTTACTTACAGGCTCTTATCAGTTCTACAGTGATATCAAGATTAAAGTAATTTTAAGGAATAAATAAAAAACAGACACAACTTTAAAGAACAAACCAGTTCTATTCTTTGCAACTATCAGTGGAATTAAACAATCTGATTTCTCCATGAATGGAAAATGTAACATTCGGTGAACCCAGTGGTCAACCAAGTCTTTTAGAGAACATTTATTAATCCATCAGTAACTCATTTGATCTAAAGATGTCTCATTCAAATAATCTACCCCTCAAAAGAACATTTCCTCATTCATGGGCACAGACAACAAGAAGCTGACAGCTGCATGAAACTTTACAGGTTATTTTTAAAGATTTAGCTGTTGTCTAGAGACGAACAAGACAATGATGTATAAACTGAAAGGTTTAAAAATGCAGAATCCTTACCTTTGAGGCCTTCTGCAAGCTCTTTTTTAAACTGGGTAGATAAAAGGGGGATCACTTATAAGTTATTAATAGAAAGAACCTATCTGTAGACATTTGCAAGCTGTTCACTGACTAGACACAGATACATTCTTTCACATATTTCATTGGCATATGAGAGGAAGTTCCTTCAAGCTTGCCTTTTATCCTTTTTCCTATGTAAGAAAATATCAATTACTTGTAAGGTAATTTAGCAGAAGATCTGCTGGAATGAGGATCCTGGCTGTACATTATTATGTACATGAACAAACAGTTGCTCATTTAGCTATTAAACCTTTGGTGATATATTTTACACCATAATAAATAAAAGTTATCCTGTACTTGAACTCGTTACTTCCTTCAACTACTTTGAAGTCTTGTGTGTTCAGAGATGACTGAACTACTGTTAAAAACCAAAGATCTTTATTATTAGAACTCCACCACTAATATTTTGCTTGCCCAGGAATTTTGTCTTAGAAGTGCAAAATTTGAACTTAGACATTTATCTAGTTGGGACTTAGGTAGGATTGTAAATATGCTCAAAAGCTTAGTTAAGTTGTAGAAATGGGACCACAATGGCAAAATTAGGCACATAACGTCAGGTTCTCAGTGCAGGAGGCATTTCAAGAAGGCAATCAACAGCTGAAGTTAAGTATTTCTGAAAGCTTATAAAGCAATCTCTTCTCACATAAATTGAAAATTATCGTGTTAGCACAAAGGATATAAAAGTCTGTGGTCCAAATGCTTTTTGCTATTTTAATGTAATTTCTTGGTATTATCTTTTACTCATCCACATGAAAGTAAATTTGCAAAGAACCTTCTCAATTCATGCTTAAAAAACAAACCTGCTTTTTGCACCTAGCAGAGCATGTAACATGTAAGAAAGATACAATAACTCATGGCTTTCAAATGACATAAAATTGAAAAACTCATCTTTTCAGAGAACATTTAGGACAGATATAAGTTATCTTACCGGCTTATTATCAGGACTTGGACTAACTGTGATGGTAAAAGCAAAATAAGGTTATATTTCAATCAATATTTGCACATAATTTTCTGGAAGACGTTTGTAGTCATTCATTGGTCCTCATCAGTCTTTAAGTATCAGTAGGGAAAGGACAGAGTAGAAAGGACAGAATTACAGTTAAATCCCTTAATTCTCCTAACTCTAAAACAAATTTACCTGCAAATATGAACCACTTCAGAACAACTTTCACTGTTGCACAGCTTGATGTGCTACATCCCAAGGATAGAAGGGATTAGGACACAACTAATTAGGAAGGTGACAGTATAAACAGCAGACAAATATGTGTGTGTTTATACCCAGATCACACAGGCACACACAAATCCATACACACACCCTACAGCAATTAACACTTTTAAACAGATATGCATAAGGTAACTGAGAAGCTGCACAAACTGGAGCCAGAAACTGCTAACATTGAAAGTTGCTTAAAACTTCAGGGAAGCAATTAACCTCCCAGCCCCCGGATTTCAAGCCCATGGAGCAGACCATAGGATCTTTTACAATTTATGAACAAGCCAAGGAATTTATATCACAGTCAAAAGATTCTTTTGCTGAATTAACCCCAGCTCCCTGTGACCCTAAGAAGTCATAAACCAACAGGATACAGGAGAGGGAGAATGTGCTCTAGTGTTTCAGCTGACCTGCAGAGTGCTGTCTGTGTCATGCCAAGGCTGAAACCCAGATGATGAATTACAGAGCAACACCCCAGGTTCAGAGGCAAAGATCACCCCCTTCCCCCTGTACATGCACATGCAGACATGTTCACTCACCCCAAAAGGCCAAGTACTGTTTGGGCTCATTTACAGAGTCTTATTCTAACACAGAAGAGGGAAGAAAATTGCTTATCCAGAAAGCATGCATGACTGTGTGGAACAACATTCAAGAGCACATGCTGCATATTAAATAAAAGAAAAAAACCCACTGAGGTTCTCTTTCTGTATATGGATTATTAAGCATATCAAAAATACAAATTCAATTCAGAACCAGACATGTACCCTAGAACTGCAGCTTTTGTAAAGAATAACTTCATAAATATAAGGAGGACAAAAAGTGAAGTACAACTCTCTTTAAAATAACCTCTACCTGAATCCGTCTTGTAAATACAGAACAAAACCTCTCACACAAAGTAGATAATAAAACAAAGTCTAGCTGACCACAAAAAGAAAATGGCATAATGCAAATGTCTGGACACAGACCTCAAACCTCATCACTTGTAATCACTAAGACAAGAAGTCTTTTCAATATTTACACTTGTAGTGGACTGCTGAGTTGCACCAAAAGCTCAAAGCTTATTCAGAAGGATGAATCATCTACTGAAAACAGACAGTGGCTGCTTGTTTCACTTCTAGCTCAGAATGAAAAGCGATACTTTGAAGTCTGACTGAAGAGAAAACGGATAGCATAGTTTTGAAATGATTAATTCAAATCCAAAGAATTTAACAGACACCAATACCATGAAGTATTAATCACTGCAACATTTAGAAACCAAACATTCATCTCTGAATAAAGCAAGCTCATGGCTCCACTATTTGATGAACTGAAAATTTCTTACTGGTCAGAAATTCCCTGAAAAGTTGTCAAGGATTTTCACATAGTAGGGAACTTAAGAGTGCTCAACTTTTTTTTTTACCCTGTTTGCAGATGACCTGGATTTCCTTCAGCAGCTCCTATTACGTTCTTTGGGAATGATGCAAGCTATTCCTCAGAAAGTCATGTTTCCTGAGGCTCACTGAACACTGGACAACAACTTCCTCTCGTGATCAGCAGGCTTGTGTTATGTCCAAGAACAACATGGCTGAAGCCTCCAGGTACAGCACCAAACAAAACCACCTCTCCAGATTTGCAACAAGAATCCAACTATGGCAATTTCTCACTCAGCCCTACATTATGCATTTTGCCATATAATACAAATATTCCTTTTAAACCCAAAGTCACAACTTAGAAGCAATCTCCCCCATTACTCACCAGGATCATCAAAAATTGGTCAGAAATCATAACAGAGTGACAAAAGTAACCATAAACATCTATTTTGGTTAATTCTCATAGTAACGGATGCAAACCAACAAAAATGTAGTTGACACTGGACTAGCAGCAAGACTGGAAGAGGAAAGAATCAGTTTATTTATCGCAGGTCATTATAAATTAATTTAACAAGGCATTTTTCCTGAATTAGTCACTGTACAATGACTGGTTATAGCTTCTTAGGTAAGAAAGAGACCTTGAGACTTCCCTTCCTGCAGCATTATTTGTTCATAAATTGTTTCCACAGTCCATATTGCTGTAATTCCAACCTGTACCATCTCCTGGCAAGGCAGTTTCTCCTCCGGCATTTAATTTACAAAGGTACTAGAAATCTTCCATGCCTTTCTGCTTCAAGTAAGTTCAAAACATCACAGCCTCCGATAATAGAGGCTACAAATTTTGCAGGGCTCTATACTCAGGGTATGTCCCTGGTGTCTGGATTCACAAAACTCATGTAAGTCCAACTCCTAAATTTAGGAAAGCCTGCTTGAGAGAGTTGAAATTTAACTGGTAGCAGCACACATGTGAAAAGCATTTTTACTTGGACACCTCCAGAGCATCTTCCCAGGAGCCATCTACAGTATGAGCTTGAAAAATTGGGGCTCTCTGCTCCATGCAAACTGATGGGTAATATCAGCAATCAGCACACAGAAATTACTGACATCTCCCTGCAAGCTAAACTTGGTTATGCAGAGGGAAGAAAATGCCACGCCAAAGGCAAATTGACACCATTTTATGTTGTAAACAAATCATCACAAAGAAACCTCTTTCAGCCATCTGACACTACTTATTTGAATCAAAGTGTAAACTTGCAAAATGAAACCCGACAACAGCTTTTACACATTAAGCAGGTAAAATGTCTGACAAAGCTGCTGTGTTAAGCCTACCTGTAGATTTGCCTGTTTGTAGATAGATAAACTGTGGACATAGAGATACCCTGTTACAAATTCAGAAAGTCTTCTCTGTTCATCATAATAAATACCTGTATGGCTTCGGATATGAACTCTCAGTGTTCCGTTGCTTGCAAACTTCTGTCCACAATATGGGCAAATTTTCTCTTTTTCTCCTGTGTGAGTCTACATAGGGAGTGGAAAGACAAGAATGACTGTTCAGCATTACATAAAGAAGTGAACTATGGAATATTTAATTGTATTTGCATTGACTGCTATTACCTCTATTACGTATTTTACCATCACACCAGGCAAAGATTCTAATTAGCTCTAGGTGTTAAAGAATTGATCACAAAAAGAACATTGTAACTATCACCAGCACTAAATCACTGAGTTTGTCTTTTGAAATCAAGCTTTTTGGGCTGGAGACCTCACCGCTATAAGAATTATTTCAAAACAGAAAAAAAAGTATTACAAACTCTCCCAGCCAACCTGTGTGTCAACAGTAAGATCACCCTGGTATCAATTACACATAAGGTCACCATCATTTTTCACACTGTACTTTCAAAACACAAGTCTGAACTAAAGATTTATCAGTCTATCAAATTATTTTTCCTTATCACTGTGGCTGTTCTATTAGTGGAGAACTACTGACGACTTCATTTAGAAGTGTTAATTTAAATGAGATAGGAAAGATAACACATTCAATTATATGAGCAGCTGATTATTTCAGTTTCCAGTTTCCTCTTCAGATAGTGAAATGAATTCTTATGTTGATGAAAACACACAGTAATGACAAAAACTCTTCATTACATCATAACAAAACATTTCTCACATAGTACATTTTATGCTGCAGCTGAAGCAAGAGTAAATGAGATCTCATTTCAATACTGGATGGACTTGCACTGTTTTCATTCCCTGACATGAAAGATATAAATGCTAAACTCCTCTTGATTAGGATACAGTCATTTGGAGATCATTTGTATCTCTAGCAGCAACATTGGGATATACCAGACAGACAGCTACTAATTCATTCCAAACTCCCAAATACCAAAAGGATTTCTGGGAACAATACAGTAAAACTACAACATGGCCAGTCCTAGTCTGACAGGAACACAAAGCAAAAGCAACTCCCATTTTACATGTATGTATGAAGCACACACTATATGGCAAGCAATACATGCAGGATGTTTTAAAATAAATTCTCACAATCAGAATTAGGTGGCAGCACCTAAACTGACCTTTCCTAGCTGATTTTTCTTGATTCAATTATTTTCTTTGCATTTCTACTCTGTAACATCAATCTTACCTCAGGCCAAAATAGTGAGCAAGCCTCCTCCTCAGGTTTACCCCAAACCCATAGCAGAGTTCGGTGCAAAGGAGGGCAGTCAGGTGCATCCTGCCATACACCTGAAGCTGGAGCACCTCCACTGAATTTATACACAAGCACCAACTGTAATTCAGCTGGGCACCAATAACCCTACCACTGCAATCAGCATTTTAGGGTAAGGAAAATCTACTGAAAAGCCAGAAAGGCAGAAGTAGCTTTGGGGATTCTACACTTAAGACAACCTTAAGGACACACAAGAAATTATCAGTTGATTCTACTTACTTTCTTATGGCTCTTCAGAACTGAGGGAGTCACAAAAGCTTTGTCACACAGGTCACACTTGTATTTCTTATGTCCATCATGTACAACTTGAATATGAACATTTAATGTGTCCTTTCTTTTGAAAGTGGCATCACAGTGATCACACTTGAAGGTCCTCTCACCTAACAAAGAGAAAAATAGGTTTTCCTGAGCTACCACCCTCTTAAAAAAGGTCACAGTGTGTGTTTTTAGAGAGCTCTTCACAAAAACCTACAATTCTATACACTGTGAATTATATATTTTGAATATTCTGCAAATGCTTGTTCATTAGAAGACACATTACTGAATGGGTTTTTAACATTTTCCCCATCGTTTTTAACACTAGGAAAAAAACTTTATGACATCTAATGCTTTAAAAAATTGCAGAAGCTTTGGAAGTTGATTGTAAAAGAAGAAACTGAACACGCCAACCCAATAATTCATCTAACAGAAACACTGTTATGCAGGATTAAAAAAGGAAAAACTTGTGGTTTTCTTAGTTATGTCAGCGTGAATATTCCCCAAAACCAAGTACTGTCTTCTAAGTTAAGGATTTTAGATCATGAGCATTTTCTAAAATTTAAACTCCTGATTTTCAAGGGGTTGAATGATAGTCTAGGGCTCTGCAAGTATTAAAGATGGAGAAAATTCCACCAAAAATAAATCATAATACAGCCAACAAAAAAAAAAGGACAGAATGCCAAGGGAAGTTACTCATGAGCAAAAATGGCCACAGCATTTCTCTGAGCTGCTCCAGTTCTGTGCCAGAAGCAGTAAACATGAGCCTGAGCTGGCACAGAAGAGACAATCTCAGTGTCAAGCTCTAAACCTGATTATCTACAAAAGCAGAGCAAGTCACCAACTTATCTCTGTTTCCATTTGTCCATTCTTAAAATGAGGGTAACACTATCACACTTAATGAAGAAATAAATTTCTTGCCATCAGACCTCAAACCATTGCTGGATTTTCTATAGCATACTTGGATTTGCATTTAAGTGCATCTGAAGGCAGAGTTTGAATTTGGCTCTGAATTTTTAACACCCTGGATACGGAGTTGAGTCCTAGTACCAATTTAACACAGCAAGTTGTATATTGGAGCAAGGTGCCACATGTTTGCTTTTGTTAGTCACATATGAGAATGGAGAAAGCTGTTTTTCCTCTGACTTTGCACTTACTGTTATGGATTAACAGATGTCTTTGTAGAGAGAAAGGGGTTCGGAACAAGGCTTTGCATTCCTCACACTGGAACGGCCTCTCTTCAGAATGGGTCTGTGGATGAAAGACAAAATGTCAGAGGAAAGGCTCATGGAAATCCATCAGTTGTCATTGCAGTAACTACAGTTCATTTTCTAGATGTGACTCAGGAGAGGATATCACAACTGGAAGCATCAGGGGACGATGATTAAAATAATCATCCTGCCATTATTCAGGATCCTGAAAGTCAGCACAGCAGTTACTCAGTAATTGCACTGTCCCCATCCTCACAAATGTCACATGAGGTGTGCACATAAACAGAAACAAAAATACAGAATAACCAGAGAAAAAAACTACGAGCTCAGCTGCATTGCTTCAGCTGCACTAACACTGGCCTGGAATACTTATTAATATGAATAAATACTTTCAAGTTGAATGCACACAAACCCATTTCTTTTCATTAAAATTTTAAGGTAAAATCAATCTGATTTGCACAATAGCACCTAAAATGTAGCAAAGAAAATTCCTCAAATCCTGAGACTACTTTTATATATAGCTTCTTTTATTTTAAAATATACCAAACAACAAAAAACACCAGAAAAAAAAACCAAGCCATGGAAGCAACAGTATCGAGTTTTTTGTTGGCTGTAGAAAAAATCATTGTAGCTGAAAAACAGCCTCAAAGCTGTGAATAAAATAAAGGTTAAGCTTGGATGAATCTCCCACACCACAGAGTTGAAGCAATTTCTTTTCTGAAGCTTGAGAAACATCCAGCTTTATTTTACTTTTATATATTACAAAGCACTTTCCCTGCTTCCTAGTGTTTTTAACAGCTGTCCCACTGTAGATAATAAGTTGTACTGATTAATTTACTATCTACCCAATTTCCTCCTATTTTTGCAAAGGAAATCAGGTTTTTAAAGCATCAGCATCCAAATACTTTATTAGCTCACAAGGACCTTATTACAAGCTGGAGTGCCCAGAGGAAAAGCGGATGAACGGTAAGTGTTTTATAGTATGCAGGAAGTTAGGTAAATGAGTTAATCTGGTAGACTGAGGGCAAATATTAGCATAGTACATATTTATATAATCTATTTCTGCTATCCAGAATCCACACAACTGTTATTCTACCCCTTCATCTGGGGGGAAAAAGAGGGCTTTGGGGAGACAGTGAAATTCTTGAGAGGTTGGCTGAGGGCCTTGAAACCAACTTTGATTTTAACATCAATGATCTCTCACATACACACAGCACCAAAACCTGAATGTCCTGCAGTGGGCTCAAAATCAATTATTTGACCTCAGCTTAAGTCACTGAAAGAAAAAAGGTTGCTGGAAGACCCTCACAGGCATGGATATATCTCATGTTCCTTGAAATCTGCTGTGCGTTCTGGTCCAGACTCTACAAATTCCCAGTGCAGCTGGCATTAGCTGACACCCTGCTCAGCCCCCCTGGCAGTGAGGCCAAGGATTGACAGGACATGAAGAGACTGAACTGCCTTCTCACCTCAACAGGGGGTTCCTCCAGAACAGGCTTGGGACACATGGACGAGACACTGTGGGGAAGCTCGCAGTGCTGCTGCCTGTGCTGTACCTGTTCTGTAGATAAATAGAAGGGTTCAGTCTCCAGAGCTGTCAATCTGGCACCTTTCACGAGCGCAAAAGTCATGCTGCTTTTTAAAAAAAATGCCCTGGTTTGGAACAATCACCACGTGAGTGACAGTTCTGAAGAGCAAAGTGATTTGTACAGAACTCCTCCTCAGCATCTCCTTTATACTCTCCTCACCTTTTGATCAAAATACACAGATGGATCTGCACGTCTTAACTTCCCTACAAAGAAAATCACCTAACTAGGTATACCCACATGCAAGGGTACTCAGATCATCCCAGCAGCTGAGGATGGGCTCTTATGCAGCATTTCATGGCAGCCTTTCCTACCACAGCATCTGTGGAGGCTTAAGCCCAGCCCAAGGCTACTTATTCCCAACAGATAAACTGATGAAATACAGTTGTTTCAAATCATTATGCTCCCCAGGACCAAACAACCCTGGATTAGCCATAAACCCTTTAAAATCCTGCGTCTGATGACCTATTTCTGCTGACTGTCATGTCTTCACATTTTGTTATCTGAACTCATCCTCTTGTACACAGCAACAAAGGAGCAGATGGAGCAAAAACATCTGCATGGAAGTAATCTGCATTACATGGCTCAGAACATGAACCCTCTTCCAGTCTAACCTGCATGAAAGGTGACTACTTCTGTCTGCAGCACAATCCCTTTTTGCTTCCTCATTTCAGCTACTGCTCTCTTGCCTTGTCACAAAAATGGAACTGTATATTTAAGTCACACCATTTAAGATGATTCAAGTCATAGCCCAAGCTCTCACAGAGGTTCCATATCCCAGAACACTTCCAAGCCTTGACATCTCAAAGCAAGTGGCAAAGCCAGCTTGCACATGCACCTATGCAGAGCAGTGCAGCACCTGTTTGCAGGAGCAGCAGATCACAGAGGTACCACAGTTCCTGCCTCAGATGTGCAGCTCTAAGAGCATAACAAGTGCTAAGTTAAGGTTCACATCCCAGTGCTCCACTGAACAGAGCAGACAACATCTTGGCAACTCCACTGTATCTCCCAATGAAATCCTGTGAAATCTGAGGAACTAATCTCCTTCTGCACTTTTGAAATGACCCAACAGACACCCACATCTGAAAGACGTTTAAAAACACATGCTGTGGGAGCCATTTTTATTCTGAGACTTCCAACATGAAATCAGGTTAAAAAAAAAACCCACACAGGAATTACAGAAACAAAAGCAAAAAGTTTCCATCTAAAACACAAGTCAAGAATTCAAAGGCAGAAAACGTATTTGTTCTGTCTTACATATAAAAAGAATGTAAGCCTGCTGTAAAATCCAGAGGTTCTTTAAGCATGTTGCTATTAAACTTAAACGTATGTTTTCTGTTAAATGCTGTTGATTTAAGTAGTTTTCACTCCTATGCCCATCATTCCTACTGCAGGGATCTATGCTTCCCGCTACTAGCCCAGTAATCTAATCCTGGAACTCAGAAAAGTACCCTGAAATTATTTACAGTTCAACTCTCTTCCTGGGAAGACATCTCACAGGAAACACACATCTAAAAAAACCATAAGCTGAAGAAATACACAGAAGTATAATACACAATTTTCCTGTAGGATCAGCATTCCTGTGAACAAGCAAGAGAACCACTGTCCTCTTTCTCTAGGCACAGCCTTCCCAAAATTATGGCACTCAAAACCATTTTGGCCTCCCAAACCACCAGATCCTTGAGTTGTATGGTACAACTGGCTTTTGTGCACACACATCCAGACTCCGCGGTGCTGCCTTCTCCCTTTCCTCCTGTTGTTTCCTCAGTGGAGAGAGGTGTCTAAAAAAGCAACTCAAGCTATCCATGTCAGTCTCCTGTCTCTCCTGTTCACCTCCTCACTCAGTAAGTGAATTTAGAGACCTACATGTAGATGGGTGAACAGTCACAGCTGTTTGGGTAATCTTTATGCAAACACAGGAAAAAGTTTCTCTCAATATAGAGCAGTGCTGATTTACAGCCAGTATTAGGTGCAAACAGGTCCAGGAAACTAGCATTCCAGCATGCTTTAAGGAATTCCATCAAAATTTGGTACCCACTAAAGCTGTCTAAATTTTAATATTTTTCCCATTAAGTGGAACCTCTAATCCTTGTTTATGCTGGTGGTACTGCTGCTTTAAACACAGAATTGGGTCAAAGTGCTTACTCCTTCATACTTAATCCTGAAGTACATTTTCAACCCAAACTCCCTACCAGTCATCAATGGCTAGCTAACATCAGCAAACAAGTAAAAAGTATTCATTAAAAAAATGGAGATATCTTTCCAGATAATATTTTATACATTTTTCTTAGAATATATCCAATCTGCAAAATTCTGTCCAATTTTCTTAAAGTCTAGACCATAAAACATAATGTATGGGAGATAATCTTGTCATTCAGCAGGCTGCTGCATGCTTTCTTGTTTTAGACAGTCATCACCACTTCATCCAGTGAGAGGCATTATTATTGCTCTTACATGATTTATGGCTTCAAGTGCAAGAGATGGTGCAAAGATCCTGTGCCAAATTCCCAGATGGAATATAACATGAGCCACACTGTGAAAGACTTGGAGGTATGGCTATATCAGGGTTACGTTTTTTTTGATTGGTTTTTTGTTTTGTTTTTTTTTGGGGTTTTTTTGTTTGTTTTTTTTACAGTCTTGTAATTCTGAAACGGCAGTCCTGGATACAGCCTTACCATTAGAAATGTAAGCCCAGGTTAAAACTAATGACAGGCATTACAGAAATTAGGCCAAACATATTTGAGCTTCAACACAGGCAGAACATCCTTTTGTGAGTCTAGTTTTCAGGTAAATGTTTCTTCTGATGTTGTTTTAATATGTGAACACTGCACCAAGTTCAAATTTAGTGTAGTTTGAAAGCATCTGCTGCTAAGTCCAACAAGGACTGAAAGAGGACTACACACAGTTTTATACAATTACACTATAAAAAAAAGTATTTGAAGACATCTTTAAATTAGTGACATTAACTTGATAACCTAATACTTAAAAAAACCAAAAAACACAACCAAAACAAAGCAAAAAAAATAAAAACAAAACAAAAAAGTCAAAATGGGATTTATTTGATGCTTTTAACCAAGAAACTGTGCTTTACTTCTTATTTAACTTTTTTGTTTACTAGAATTGGCTCAGCCTTCTGAAATTTTGGATATAACAAAGAACACTAAAACTACATTCTCCAATACTTTAATCCCATGTTTATAAGCACGGCAGAGCTTAACAATGAACCACTTAAAAAAATCTGCAAATCTGAGGCTGGCAGACCTGTAAACAACAACAGCAGAGTGCTTTACCTTCTTGTGATTCTTGTAAACATTTCTGTGGGCAAATCCCTTTCCACAAAGCTTGCATTTATAAGGTTTATCTTCACTGTGTATTATTTTGTGTGCAGTCACTTGATCAAGTCGTTTGAAGGACTTATTGCAAACCTCGCAGGTGTAGGGGCGTTTTTCTGCAGAAAATGAGTGGGGGACATTTAATCTCCTGTTTATACAGGGGGAGAAGATGAAAGGCAGAGACAGTCATCTCCTCAGAGAGATTTCTGCAATTAAGTCAACCCAATTAAGATTAAACCAATTAGAAAGACACCTAATGCCCTTTATGTTAGACAGTTAAGTCACTTCACAAAAGATGAGCCATGGTGTATCTCAAGAAATTGGCACATTCTTTGCAATACTCATTGCTAAAACTAAACTCTGATTAATTAGCTTAAATCAAAAAAGAATTACTTCAAAGAGGAAAACCGTGTTTCCAGATTACAAATGTGAAAGAGGCCATGACAGTTGAAATATTTTAAAACTTAATTAACAATATACATATTAGCTTCCAAACCCAAAAGTTCCTATGTAAAAAGCCTTTATGCTTCAACTGGTGATTGCAACTTAACTGTGCTAATGCTCATCCAAAAGCGTCAAAAGAAAGACAGGAGCCTCTGAGATACAGATTACGTTACAAGAAATGAGCTTTTGCTGTGGACTGATACCAAGAAAACAGTTCAACTCTAAGCCTCTGCAGCTGTAAAAATCTGCATTTGTTTAAATGCTAATGCATTTGACAGAACAATGTTTGTGTTTCCATTGTGTTGCTTGATGTTTCTAATCACTGGTGAGGGACACAGAAAATGCTGGATTTGCAGTGACCAGAAATCCTGGCAGAGCCACCTGGTGCCACACTGCCAAACCCAAGGATGGGACACCATGCTCACAGTGGACTTGTGCTGGCACAAAGTGGTGCTCATGTGGATGGCATGGCCCATGAGCTGCTCTCCTCTGTCCAGAAGCTATGAGCCCACTAACACAAACACAGATAAATAGGAAAACGCAGTGTGTAGCACAGATCACTGACAGCACACCCTGCTCACAGCCTCTTCTCCTCAGCAGAAAGCCTCAGGCACTGGTTTTTCACCTCCTCTCTAAGCCATAGAGCAACCTTTTGGCCCATCCCAGCTCGCTGACCTCATCTAGCCCAGCTAGCACAACAAAACAGTTTGACAAAGCAGCAGTAGGAAGAAGACTACACCACTTCACTTGGAATTTTGGAAGGCTGCCTTAGACAATTTCCTTGGAACTTGAGTCTGGCTTGCTCAACTCAGTACAATACAGGTTTCGTTAAGAAACTAATCCAGGTAAAACTCCACATACATGAAATACATATGCACACACAGAGAGCTCTGTGTCATTTCTGTACATTACCTGAATGAGTTATCATATGGCGCTTCAGCTGGTTTGCCGAAATGAATTTCTTATCACATTCTTGACATTCAAAAATCTCATGGACCTGCAAAATATTTGATGATAATTAAATGTATGTCTAAAACAAGACAGTATCACTTATACAGACAAAAATTCTCTAACGGAATGTAGCTACTTATTAGCCAGTAGTTATACTAATACTCCAGAATATTCTGTGATTTCACCCTTGCTTGTCCCTTGCTGAAAAACATCGTCTCCCAAAAAGTAAAACTCATAACTGCCAACAAAAAAACATCAATACAACTATACAGCAAGTTTGTATAGCCTGTGCTTCTATCTACCAGATCCATTTAAAATATCATTATTAGGAAAGCATTAAAAAACCAAATGCAGACTAACTTGTAAGGACATTTTCTTCTAGTCAAGACACATGTAAAAATAACACAGAAACCACTTCATAGCTTCTGTCCGAATTTTAAAAAAACAAGTACTATCACACTCTTGCAGGATTGTTTATCTTAAAAGCTTTTAGAGGCCAGACAGGGGAGGGGCAGCATTGTCTCAAACTACAAATACAGCTTATTCAAGATTACAGCATTTAGAACTAAATGCTGGAAAAACAGGAGGCAGCTGAGAGCAACTTATGGTAAATAAAAAACAATGCTTGCCCAATAGAATAAAACATTGTTCAGTATTAAACAAAAAGGCCAGAAATTAACCCAAAAGAGATGCTTCAAACTGACAGGTGAAAAAAAGAGGGTCAGGGATTGGGAAGCTAAGAAGATTTTTAAGTGTGACTCTACTCACGCCAATTTTGCAGGAAGTCCAGCTCTATAAAGTTTAAAAAGTTCAGAAGGACTCAAGGGCTCTTCATACACACCCTCAAACTCTGATCAAAGCAGGATCTTGATGGTGGGGGTACAACTGACACCAAAGAAAGCTTCAACAATCAGCACCTTACTGTTCTTCAGTACAACCTTTTATACCCTGATGTTGATGCATTGCACCTGTGTGCCCTCTGTTCCCTTTGGTGACTGGTCAGTGCACCTGAGCACTCCATGGCTCTTTATCTTCAATACTGGTCACCTATCACACACAGCTGTAGTCCATTAGGAATGAGGCTGGGCTCCAGCCCCATTTCCAATCACCACAAACTTTGTACCTACAGGATCTACTTTGGTTCGGTCCCTTGGCAGACATCACTACAGCTGAAAGGAACTGTACAGGTCCATGTAAGAAATCTGCTGAGAAATCCAGAAAGGCACCAGCACAAACCAGTCCTACCAGTAACACACAAAACCTGCATTTCCAAAGCCAAAAAGGCCCAACTGTCCTACACTTTAAAGGATCCTTAATCTTCTTTCTCAAAATAAGAATGAGCTGCTTTACCATGGAAACTTGTGCTTACAGTAAGAGTCAGAAGCTCAGTCCACAGCTATACAGCCAGGAGGAGAGAGACTTCCCCAGCCCACCGACCAACACTGGAAGTGCAGCACTATCAGCTCTAACTGGGAAAAGAAACCAGCAAAAAACCCTGGGATTTGTTGGAATGTTTCTTCCCTTTCCATTACAAAACAGTGGAGCATCAGTGAAGAGGCCTGGCAGCCTGTGCTACTCCCACCGTACCTGCTCACTTTGAAATTTGAGTTCCTGCAAACAATTCAAATCCAAAACATGAGATCCTTATATTGAAAGGAATCATTTAGCAGGAATCTGCATCAATGAAGATGAACAGTCCCCTCACTTTCCTCCTCATTATCACTGTTGATTAACTGAACTTTGCATTTTACTTGAACTTCAGAACTCAGTATCAGAATATGCTTAAGGCACAAGACATAAGCTAAAAATGAGTTTAAATGTGACATGAAAGCTTAGATATGAATGAACATGTCTTCAGAAAGTAAACATCTATCAGCCCCCTACAGCCACCCTCTTTACCTCCTTTCTCTGTATTTGTCCAACTTTTTCTGTTGTTTGGGCTTCTTTTCTGTTATATTTTACCTTTTTATTCTCCACTTTTATTTCTTTACATTGAAATAGGTGGGGGAAAAAAATCTGCCTTTTTTTACTGGTTTTGCCTATTATTTTCATACTGGTTTAATTGCCTGTATAAATGTTTTTGCCAATGCTGATGATCCTGCCCCACTTCCTACAAAAGGAAATTAATTCAAGCAAACAAACAGCATGAGTACTACTATGTGCAATCTCCTTCACTATCTGATATAAGTGTATAAGTCTGGAATACCCATTTTCTGGATGTTTTAAAATAAAATCCTATCAGGAAGAGCAAAGAAAGTTTTATGCACAAAGTCATCATGGTGATTCTTAAGGTAAGTGCTCAACTGACATGATAAATCATATTTGAGAAACTTGTGTGTCACAATGTCTGCCCAGAATTACAACTACTGAAACAGAACAATCATTTAATAAAACGGACACACTAATCAGAACATTTTGCATTTTAAAGTCATGATGTGCAAGACCTGTGCCAATGTGTAAAACTTGTAACAACATGTGGCAAGGAACACCATGATAACAAAATAAAGCCCTGTTAGACAAAAAGGCAAGGCAAAACAAAAAAAAAAAAGAAAAAAAAAAAAAACAAGGAAGGGCCCCACGATTTTCTTTGCAACAACATATTTTAATTTATATCATTTATATCCTCAATAGATTCAGGTTATAACCAGGGTATTATTAAAGACTTACAGTTAATCTGATAAACAGTACAATGCAGCTTTTTGCAAAAACAGATTCTCTCGGGTTTTAGTGATTTATCAAATTAATCTTGCAGGGACTTCCTTTGGGTATAATGGATTTAGAATCTCATATTTGTGGTCCATCTGTATTTCTATTGAACACCCTTATTTCCAATAGATGCTTTTCCAACTGTTAACCCCTCCAATTCTGGATATAAAAGATTATGTGCATTAAAAAAAGGACATTAAAATTTGGGTTTGAGGAAGAATTTTTTTTTACTAATGCATAACTACAATAGAAGTAACTCCCCTAAGTGGTATTTCAAAAAGCAGTAAGAAAATTACTGTGTTTTGTACAAAACCTGAATGCTCATGAACCTATTTTATGGTCTGTGTATATGCTACAATTACATAACACAGTGTTTAAGAATGCTGAAGAACAGCAGGCAACTCTGACTTAATGCTGGAGTGCAAAAACACATTTGCATTTGTTAAGAAATACGTGAAAACTTTAGAGAGATATCTGGCTTGAGCAAGCGTGACTACAGAATACCCACACTAAACCACGTTAGCTTTGTAACCATGAAAGAGATCACCCGAAGGCTGGCGTTACAGCAGCTTTCAAGTGACGTGAGCAGCACAGCCTCACATCTCAGGGAAGCCAGTGCCTGCTGTGAGTCAGCCTTCATCTCACTGACCTTTCGATGCTCCTGGAGATTTGCTGCTGAGGAACATTTCTTATTGCACACTGAACACATCAGCTTCTTCCTAGAATTTCCTGAAACAGAAACAAAATACCACCAACATCTTAAAGAGGAAGTGCTAAGAAAGAATCTAAATATTTCCACTGAGCCTGTGACATTTCACAGGTCATTTGACTGACATAAGATTTTTACATTTGTACCCCATCTTCAAAGTGTTCCAAATCAGGAGCTCACTGTGGGTGTCCAACCAACCAGACAGTGGTGGAATGTAAATTAAGAAAACCAGAACAATAAAGAAAAAAACCTTTCAAATAGATGTTATCATACACTACCAATCCCACATGAAGAGCACAGTTCACAACTGAGAACAGCTCACTTGGCAACTGAACAGTTCATTTAATCCAGAAATCAATACAGGAGTTAGTGCAGCAGTGACAAAAAAATCTCAAATTTAAGTGAAAACCATTTCCCATTTTTGTTTATTTGGAAAGCATTAAACATCCTACTATATAAAATATCAATAATGGTCTTTAACTGAATGAAACAGGAAAATCATATTAGCACCAGATCATGAATTGAAATCTTGTCTAAAATGCAAATTACAAAGCAAGCTATAGGTCAGCTATCCGACATTTTCCTTCACTTTCCACTGCTGCTTTAAAAAGTCACACACCACTTAACTGAGTTTATCTATTACTTACCTTTAGAGACTCTTTTTAGTACACCACAAAGCCACCATAAACCTAATTCTTTGTTTATAATTTAAGATGCCCATGTAATGTAGTTCCTAGCTTAGGTAAAACACATCCATGCTACACTGAACAGCAGAAACATTATAAAAGTAAAAACGTACAAAATTTATGACAAGTATTTATATTAGATAGAAATAGATATATAATACAGGAATACACTTAGTCCTTCAATGTGGAATTCATCTACCACTACATAACTAACAAAAACTAAGCCTAAACGTAACAGTGCTCATAGATGAAAAAAATTATTACTGATACCAAAAAAATGAGATAATTTTTATAAGAAATATTACAGAAAAGTTATTTCTCTACACTGCAAGAGTTTGGCAGCAGAATAAGATTGAAAATCTTTAAAAGCATCTCAGTGCTGTCACCATCAACTGAAGACGGTTTTCTGCACATTCTGGAATTCTGCTGCCCCCACACAATGATATTCCTTTGACACTGAGAGGGGACACACAGAAAGAATGTAGAATGCCAGAACTGAGATCTGTGTTGTGGACCTGAGAGCAAAGTTTGAGTGAAAACTACTCACAGCACACAGATATGAAAACATTAGGGCTTAAGAGTACCAGAAGATGGTTTGGTCTGGCTTCCGGCACAACAGATGCTACAGGATTTTATGCAACCCTCATCAAGCTTAATTGTTTGATTAGGAAAAGAAAAAATATCCCATTGTCTCCTGAAAATACCAAAAAATCAAGAACTCGCCATTTCTTGTAGCAGTTTGTGCCAGTGGTTGATTTTCCTCACTTCTGAAACATTTTGCTTCATCTACTCTTTGCCTAGTTTAAACTTCTCAAGATTCCTATTACATTTTATGCAAGAGACTAATGATTCATGTGGCCTACAGTAATTTCTCCTGGGGGGGAGGAGGAATAGTAACTCTTGCAATTAAGTTACTTCTTAATTTTCTATTTGATACAAATGAACCCATTAAAAAAGAAATCAAAGTCTGATTTGGAAATTTAAGCCCAGGAACATGTCAGAGGGGATTTTTTCTGAAGGAACATTAAACTCTTTCTTACCACTGTGAACATTTTCTTTGTGTTTTTTCAGGGCATCCTTGCTCTTGAACCTCTTCCCACAGCTATCTGCCTTGCATATAAACCTGGCATCCCCTCTGCACGCCTCCTTGTGCTGCTCATAACTACGTGGGATAACAAAGAGAGGGAAAAAAAACACATCAGGCAGTGTCTCCAGAAGCCAGAGCTGTAGCAAGTACTCAGAGCTGAACACATGCTGCACTGCAGAGCTCCAAGGCCACCTCATGCATTACTTACAGCAGAGAGGAATGAAAGCATTTGAGTCCTTGCCCTGTTAGGATTCCCAAACACTACCAAGCTTTTGGAAAGCTAACATGCAAAGGAAGGCCAGCAAGGACATGACAGCAGTCCTGTAACTCGGACACAAAACCTCGATTCTGAGCTGAAGGCAGTATTGCAAAGAGAGCACTGGAAACTTCTTGAGGAGTCTCCTGGAATGATATTCTCTGTGCACTGAAGGACACTAAGAGACAAAAAAAGGAAAAAAAACGAAGTAAGGGCAACATTCTATAACTCACACAGGCTTGCAGTAGCTATAAACTATATATAGCTTTGCAAAAAGTATGTTAACAATCTGTAATTAAATGTATAATAAAAAGCAATATATCTAATTGTAAGAAAATACATATATAAACAACAAAAGAAAACCAGTTATGTTTCTGTGCAGAACCATAATTCTAAGATATATGACTTTTAGTATCAAAACTTCATATTTATACTCTCAAGGACAATAAAGCCATGTTCTTAAATTCACATTTTTCATGTTTCTATTTTGCTTTTCCACCACCCAAATATTTAATTAAGCGAACATAAAGCACTGGTTTTCCTTTTTTTTTTTCCTTAAATCTTATTTTACTTCTGTACCAGCATCCACAGCTTGAAAATTACACCTCCTAAACTACTGGAGACCTGTAATGATGCACCAAACTGCTACTCTGGTCTGGTCTCCAGTGTATGATTTTAACACATAAAAAATTGTCAATATTTTTCCAAATCCCATTGAATTCTACAACAAATATGAGAAAATAAGACATTAAAAGATTAAAGCAGAGAGTAAGGGTATAAATACAGATGCATAAAAATTAAAACTTAGCTTGTGATTAGGCCAAGAGAAAAAAAGGATTGAATGAAATTGATTTAAATGATCCCTGAAAAACACTCCTGTTTCTACTCACTGTCTTTGTAGAGCTTGTTTAACAGGGAATTTCTTTCCACAATTTCGGCACTTAAATTCCTTTTCCTCACTGGGTTTTTGGTGCAAAGTCTGCAGATGCTCAGCTAGGATCTCCTGGCTGGCAAAACTGGATTCACAGTTTGGGCATGCATGGTCCTGTTTACAGGTGAGGGGATCTGCATGATTGGAAGCAAAACCAGTGTCAAGGAGTAGCTTTCAGTTACATTAAGGAAGACACTCTGCCAGAAACAGACTATGCAAAATGGTGGCATGAAACTCAAAAAAACAATGCCTCTGAAGGGATTACAGGCAGCCTATCTTAAGTGGATTACTATCAGCATTACTGAAAATGGATGGAAAGTATTAAGATGGGTGTGACTTAGACTGTTGGCCCAAATTAGTCATTGAACTCAATTAGAACCTCAATGCAATTGGTTGTTCATAAATTCATCTTCACCTTTGATAGAGATGCTGAGAATTCCCCACACAGCTCAGCTCACCTTCCTTCTCCTACACACCTTACCTTAGGATTGGCTGAATAGCTTTATGGGAAAGTTTATTTCTCTCCCACATAAGTAAGAAGGACATTACCCCTCTTAGAGCAAAAGCTCAGTGTTCATAAGCTTGTGTTTCAGGTGAAACAAATTCTGTCTTTAATTCAAAAATGAATGGTTACTACTTAAGAAACCCAGGCTCACTCATTCACTCAGTAATTCACAAGACTTGCTGCTCCTTATAAGGCAAAGAAGCTCAACTGAAACCCCAAAAAGAGATAAAAATAATGCAAGAACTCAGAGTCAACCCCTGGGACCTTCCAGTTCCCCAGTCCTATACTGTTAGTGTTTTCTTTTTCATCGCCTCTTTTAAGCTCTCAAGTTACCCTATATTTTAGATATTGCTCACCTGCAATTTTTTCACCAGATGGCTGCACTTCTTTATTGCTGCCACTGTCTACATCTTCCTGGATAACAGTTACTTCTTCCTCCTCCTCCTCCTCTTCTTCCATGTCACTGTCCAAGTACCCAATCAGAAGCTCTGTGTCTGTTTCAATATCTTCTACAGCCAGATAGAAAATATTTTCCCCCTCCTGTTGCAAACAGGAAGTAGAAGCAATAAATAATTACATCAGAAAGACAAAAATCTAGCCAAGTATGAGACCCTAAACTAATATTATCCCTCAACCATAGAAGGGTTGGGCTCCATTCCTCAGGAAGCACAATGCTACAACAGCCTTACTAAAGACTTCTTTTCCAGTGTGGCTGCATGGATAGAGTGCATTTGTGTTCTGCTATTTTGGGAATACTCCCCTGCCTCACCTGTGAGGCTTTTCCACTATTCCCTGCAGCTTAGACCAAGGTGGAGATGGCATTGAAGTCCTCTCCTGCCACACTCTACTTGACAAGAACATCAGGGTTTGAAAAGAAAATATTTGAGGATTAGAAAAACTGCAAAATTTAGATAACCAACACAGCTTTATCTCTCTCCCCAGCTGACTGCAGGAATTCTAACACAGCTTCCAACAGAATGTTTACACAGCGTAATTTTCTCTTTCTCTCTCTCTCCTTAAGATTCCCGGTCTTCTCCAACAGGCTTTCACCCCTGGTCAGTTATCTTTACTATCAGATTGGCAGGCACATCTCGAAAACTTTAAACCCTGTGCTTAAATCAGTGATTTAAACTCTGTGATTTAAATCAGTGTAGATCCACAAAAGGCCAAAGGATGCAGCCCCGATTCTGCAGGACAGCACAAACTACATCACAATGAGTTCCAAAAGCTTCTTGATATTGCCTGGACAAGCTTCCAAATAGCTAAATCAGCTAAAAACTTTGGGCCTTGACAATACTTAATAAAGTTACCAAGGCCAGCACTATGCGTGTGTGGGGAGCAATCTGTACATCTGTTCCCTAAACTGATATTCTGTAACACAGAGATACCTTTTTTCTTTCTATATATGAACCAACAGCTTTAGGTACTGCCCAAAGCACTGAAGGAGACTAATTTCTATGCAATGAAGACTCCCAGCTCTATCATAAATCTTAAAGCTTATCTGATTAACACCCAGAAAAGTTAACCGAAGCTTCTTTGCCCTGCATCTAGTGATACATTTTGCAATAAGCTTCCTTGAGCAAGGACAAGATAATGATTTTTAATTTCCGTAATACACTAAGATTAATTTAAACTGTCAACAGGAATGCAGCATTCCCTGAGCTGCAGAAGGTCTGTTATATTTTACACAAGATACTGTCACACAGGAGTGAAACCTACTTAATTCAGTAGACTTGATAGAGTTGCTACCTTCAAGGATGCACCACTTTTCCGTCCTTATCTCAACAGCAGCATTGGAAAACAAAACTTTTTTTTTTTCTCAAGATCTATTCTGCAATCCAGATATATCTATCAGCGCACCAACCTAACCTCTGTACACATCTACAAGTTACTGGGTTTCATATGACTCTGTCAAGTTGCAGAAACCTTTAATTTAGTACAGTCTAAAGTCAAAACAAATCCTCTTGACATGAAGAAAAGTAGAAGGTCTTTCTACACTCAGTCTCCACACAGACCGGATAAAACCACTGGGGGAAAATCTCTAATACATCACTGTTTAGGACAACCTTATTCTAAAAGCAAGATAAGCTCATGAAGGGAAGCATATCTCTATTACTAGATTACCAAAAGTAATAATTGAAAGAATTGAAAAATTAAAGATTTTGAAAATTTGGAAATAAAAAGAAAAAAGATAAAGTCATGTATCCCAGGCAAAAATAAAGCCCCAGGTACTAGGAGCTGTCAATGTTTGAGTGCTCTGGGTTACATTTGCATTAGAAAGAAATTAGCTTTGGTGCCAGCCCAATGTAAACTCATTTCTCCTCCAAGGTTAATTTGTTTGGCTTTTCCATCCAAACAAATGCTAATAGCCAGGTATTCAGAGCACTAATTAATCAAGATATACCCACTAGCTGTAGTAGCTCCTCAAGGCAGCATTTTGAGGGAAAGCAATGGAAGCTCTCCAGAAACCACAAAACAATTAACATCTCTCCCCGCACCAGCAGCACCTGTATGAATCACATTAATCTACATGCATGCAGACACAGTAAACAGTCTTTTAAATTATTTTAACAACCCCTCTGTTTCTAAGAACACATCTGCAGCCATTCCATCTCCTCACATGCTTAGACCATGCTGGCTGTTTTCCTAACACTCATCTGCAGCAGATCACAATGGTCCTTGGGAGAAGATTCAAAGCGCAAGTTCATCATGGTGGCACCACAACCTTCCTTCATGTTATTCCAGGTTTATTATTCAATTATGTTTTTCTCACCTCTGCCTTCACTGTCACCCTTTACACTATAGGCCACACAGACATGCTCAGCAAATACAGTTTTCCAGTTCCAACAGCCCTGCTATCTCCTTTTTGGTCCACTACAGGTACCTCTTCCATGAAGATTCTTGGCTTTTCCATACAGTTACACACCTTCATATCTGCTTTGTAAGGGGGAACACAGGACCACTGACAGCCCATCACACTTTCACGCAAAAGCATAGAACACTACTGTCATCACTCCTGAAAGTTTAAAACACAGGAGGAGGAAGCAGCAGAGTCTTGTGTTACCTGAGGTAGTGTAGGGCTTTTCCACCCTTCAGAGCCTGAACAGCTGGCTCCAACCCAGCCTTCCTAATCCTTACCCACTTTGTGCCCACAGTGTTACCGGATTACCCTCTGTATCTGATTCCCTGGCAGAAAACCATCTCTTCAGCCTACCTGCTCTGCCAGTTCTCCCTGGCTACCTCTCTAAACAAGCACACTGCCTTCCCCAGTCTTTCCCTGCAGCTCCAGGATGTCAAGTTTGGCAGAGGTAAAACCAACACAGGCAGTGTCTGAGGGAAGAAACTGCAGTCCAGGAAATGCATGGAGATGATTTCACACACCCCCACACACAGCCCAGAATTCAGACTCTACCTCATCTAACATACAGCACCTGAACCACACACACACAAGATCCAGAAGCCTAAGCTCTCTCTCCTGATCTATTCCTATGGTGCTACATTGAATGGCAAGGCAGCAAACCTCTGAGACACAAATGTGAGACTAAACAGAACACAAGGCTAAACTACTACAGCAATTCTGGCATTTCTCCATACTCCAGTTTTCAGTAATAGCTCCCAATGAAGGCTAAAATATTTTTCCATCTGAATACTGTGTGAGGATACGCTCTAAGGTCTTAAAAAACCCTTTGAGATAATTTAGCAAATTTTTATTTGTTTCTATCATTTTCCTTATAAAGAAACCCACTGGTATGCACTGGATATTCCATTAAAACTTCTATTCAGAAGTTCAGGTCCTTTACTGGAAAGATAATGAACATTAATTGTTCCCACTGCTCTCTCTTGTGAGCTTTACTTTGCCTTTGCTAACAATGACTGTGCACTGATGAGGTGCTAATCAAACTTCCTGTATGAGAGCCGTTCACAACTACTACCATAAGGAGGACGACAAATTTCATCACAAATAAACATTTGTTCTCCTGGCACAGAAAAAGCAAATTTTTTTTCTTCTAGTCTCAAAATAAACTATAATTCTTTTGTCAGGGACACACAGACTAATCCTTGGGAAAGAAAGTCATCTCATGATGAAAAAACAGAACAGTCATTTTAAGAAATGCTGATATATTATTCTCCTCTTCCTGATTGTTTTCCAATTTGGATTACATCAGCAAATACCTTAAGTTAGCCTGAAACAACATTTTGTAAAGTATACATTTAGAGGAAAAAAAATTCAGAGTCATGTAATACTTATTTATGTGGGAGTGGAAATTAATTTACTGTGAAACTGAGCTGTTAAAAAAAAAAAAAAAAAAAAAAAAAAAGCAGATAGCTAATTTCTTTAATAACCTCCAAAAGAGCAACAGCTGGAACTGGAAAAGTATCCCTGTCTCTGTTGTATCCTGTAAAGTCACAGAACACTTCCAAAAATGAGCAATTAAACAGAATAAGACTCTTCAGCTTGAGAGAAGAGCTGTCAAATAAGAGTGAAAGGATAGAACAGAATTCCATAAAATCCAAGACGGCATAGCAAAATAAAGTAACTATGCACTGTTATACTAGAACTAGAAAATCAAGTGAAATTAAGGAGTGTCTAGAAGAAAAACAGAAGCATATTTCAACATAATTAAAGCAGTGGAAATCATTACTGCAGAGTGCTGCAAATGACAACTATAAAAATGAAAAAATAAGCTGGATAAATTCAGATCAACAGCAAATACAGAAAATTATCTTTTTTTATTAATTTATCCTCAGGCACTATTATCAGATAATTAGATTGTTCAATTTTCTGTTTTCTACTTAAATATTTTCAGCACCATGTCTCTTTTCATGCTTGTCACACTTTCATAATTAATTATATGTTATCTATATTATATGATATTATTAATTTTATTGAACAATAATGTAAATGCATGCTTTTCATACAAGTAAGCCCATACCCAAGTTTGGCATGAAACACACAAAGGTCTCTAAATAATTAGTCCTTAAACCTTCCAAATAGCATCAGATTCCAAGGACTTTCCTAGTCTTTCAACGTACCACTCTTATTATTTGTGGTATCACCTTAAGCAGAAGAGTTCTCTTCTAAAAAGAAAGGCAGAAAAAGAAAAGCAGTTTGCTTCTTTCCTCAGATCTTGCAATTTTGTTACAAGACAGGAAGGCCAAAAAGGAAATCAAATTAAAAAATCAGTAACAGGAAGCAAATGGTAAGAATCCACCAAATCTACCTGGATGGCTGCCAGGTTCTTCTGTTCCTGGGACGGAGCCTCATGGACAAAGCGCAGCCAGTTAGAATGGCGTGGGTTGCTGGCATCCAGGATATAAAGGACTTCACCTTTGCTCCCACGAACCTGAAACATTCAAAAAAATCCCCAAGCAAAATATAAATTACAAAACCAACTATGTCCAGGTTTTGTCCACTCAGTGGAAAAAAAAAACACCTTTAAAAAAGCATTGTGCACACAAGATACATCCATCTCCATATCTAGACCTCTACCATACAGACCCATATAATTAATATTTCTACAATTTGGATAGAATTCCAGCTTACTTTGACAAAAGGAAGATAATAGAAATAAAAACTTAATATTAAATATGTCATTCTTCCCTCTCAAAACTGAAAGACATACTGCTGTAAAAATACATCTGTCACTGCCAAAAAAAACTCTGTTTGTTTCATTTTAAACAATAGATCACTTGAATCTCCACTGATCCAGACAACACAGAGCCATGCAAAAAGGTCATACAGCCACAGTATTATTCCACTTGATTTATTTATATAATGAATGGATTTTATTTTCCATCTGTCAACAAGAAGTATCCAGGGCAGGTATTTCCTAAGAGCTTGGGAATTTGGCTATGTAAGATCAAAACTGGATTGTCTTCATGGCTTTGTATATAAATTGCTCACATTCTTGCTATATTTGTTTCTAATAGAATGCAATATCATATTTCTTCAGTATGACTGCTTCAATTACCTAAACATTTAGGGTATCATTAAAAAGACAAAAACTGTATTCCATTACAATAATAGCTGGTGACAGCATGTTGTTCTCAGATAAAGCAAAAAAATAATTACTGTAGTTCTGCAAACAAATAAGGATCTTCAAAACTCATTACCATTCTTCTGAAGGAAAAAAGACACATGAAAAGGTGCCAACATTCAAACTTTAAAAGCTCTTACTTTCCAACCCATGGATTAACCACAGTGAAAAGTGTCAAACCTACACACTGAAATGCATCTGGAAACAATATTATCTGACGCTAAGCACTAATGGCTTCCCAGTGAGGCCCTGGATGTCCCAACCCTGAGAGTGTTCAAGGCCAGATGGGATGGGGCCCTGAGCAACCTGATCTAATGAGTGGCATCCCTGTCCCTGGCAGGGGGGCTGGAACTGGATGGTCTTTATGGTGCTTTCCAACCCAAACTATTCTGTGATACTGTGATAATCACCCAGTTCTACAGAGGCTTTGTACTTTACCTACCAAAGCACAAGTTACAGGAGCCCACCATGTAGATCCTATAAAGGCTTCCATCAGGTCTTGAGTTGGAATGACAAGCAATCCAGGTTCTATTATAAAAACTATACATTACACTAACTTTTCACCAATTTTTCTTTACTGGCTTTCTTAAATTCTGTAATTTATATTTGCTTCAGTGATACAGTCATCTCAGTTATGCTTTCAGAGTCTCTGCCAATCCACAGAGAGATGCCAAACACGAAGCAGAGCTTTAACACATAAGGAAGCTATCGATAAAGGAATACGATAAATCCCTTCAAAACATTCTGTATTTTCCACTGCTTTTTTCACCTCATAAAGAAATAATGCTGCATTGAATATACAGATGTGAGCATGAAAAGTCAAGAAAAACTGCAAAAACACCACACTGTGCATGGACTAGACTGGTGATATGAACCAGTCCTTCCCTGGTTGCATGAATAGGAAGGTTCCTAAATGAACTGATGGCAGGGGATCCTAAACCTAGCACTTTAAACCAACACCTAAAACGCATACACATATCCACATTATGTACATCAAACTGTGGAACTATCTTCCTGAGAATCCACACAAAAGGTGTCACTGAACTAATTCAGTCAAGTGCCTTCAGCGTAAGATGAAACACGTGACATTCACTGTCACCACACAGGGTGAGGTTCCACCTCAAAGCCAATCAGGACAATCTGACATGATTACCAAGCACCAGAAGAATTCAGGAACAGAAGAGTTCAGGACAAGATGTGTCTCTGGTTAACATATAAGCTCCCCATATGAAACCCTACACAACCCTAAATAACACCTAAGCTGCTTTCTGGAAATAATTTCCTAAAACATTTCTAAATCAAAAAATCTACGTTCATCAAACAATCCTGTAGAGAAAAGTACTGGTTTCTCCACTGCTTCTTTTTTGATTAGGTGAAAATATGATCTTTATTGCTGTAGCATAAAACAGCTAGATGCAATACTTCTGCATCCTGAGTTCAGACCATCACAGAGCTCACTGCAGAGTAGAAATTCACTTTTTAACATTGCCGGAGATATTTAAAATAACTCCAGCAAAAGAAACCTGAGGCAGCAACTGCTGATTTGCTTGCTCAGTAAGAAGTCTGGGACAGAGACAGCATGTGACATTTTCCTTCAGCCAAAACACACAGCAAGTTTTCCATGGTAATAAAGCTCCTTCTGGTGCATGACGTTACCTGACCCTGCCAGGGATAGAAGGGTACAGGAAGCTCACTCCTAGACTCCTGCAAACATTCTGTGGAGCTTTCAGGAGCAGGGCTGCACTTCCCTTTCTCTGGAATGATACCCAAATCTCCCTAAGCAAACTGTGTGTGATCTTCTACAGTAAGTTCAGACTGGAGTACCTCAGCCTAGTAGCATGTGCTTTCCAGCATCTTAAATATATCCCGTAACTGAAGATGGGAGTTTAACACTCTCAGCTACATTCAGGAGTAGTTCCTTCTCACCACCAAAACCAAAATATCATAAATGGGCCTGCTCCAAAAGTTACTAAAATGAATACAAAGTCATACATTTAACATGGAAAAAGATGACTGAAACAAGTTTTAACAGATTTGATTATAACAACATTAGTAACTACTCTGGACACCTATCTATCCCATTTGAGAACAATTTACTAAAATTGAAATTTTGGGACATGGACTTGCAGATGAGATAGTGCAACAACTTCTGATTTGTGTAAAAGCCTGGATCATTTAGGAAATTAGAAAAACAAAAGCATTTTGTTATTTAATTAAACAAAGATTCACGCAGAAACATTTAAAAGCAAACAGTTTTCAATGTAGACAGTATTTGAGGGACAATACTGGAAAGGCAGTCTTCATACAGAAAAAATAAAGCCTATATTGTTCAGAATTAGATTTATAGTATTACATTACCTTGACAGAAAAAACAGAATTCATCCAATTAAGATTTATTTTATCATGAATCTGTGGACATAATTTGACTTAATGTCTTGTGTGTAAGAGTCTTCCCATGCCAGAAGCACATTTTATAGGCAAGATAAAAGAAAGAAGGAAAAAAAAAGCCACCAAAACACAGCAAGCCTAATGTGCTTGACTTCTTATACCTCAATCCTAAACACCACAGCTCTGATCTGAAGCTGGCTGCAGCCAATAGCAGATTTTCTGTTGCCTTCACTAGTTCTCAGGCAGGCTTATTTAACTGAAAACAACTGTCACAGCAAAAGTGATGCAAGTTAAGCAGTAGAAATGTAAGTTCATTTTATTTTCTTATATAAATAAACACAAGCATTGGCTTCCATTGAAAGACTGTTTTCCAATCTCTTTGGTTTTAATGCAACAATGAAGAAAACATGATCCTGGCAGATTGACAGAAACCCAACCTGAAATATGTAACATTCAGCATTACATGGCGTATTATGTTCCATCCAACCCTGACCAACATTTCTTCATGGTATGTCAGAGTATTTGAAGAAGGACAAAATCTTTCCAGCCCTCCCTGTTTCAACATTTGCCAAAGTCATCACCAGAAGTATATGCCTGCCACAACCCAATAGGAGTGAAATAAATTCCCCTTTCTTGGTTAAGGAAAAGGAAGAAAAGGAACTGAACGTACATAAACGAAATGTTATCTTCCCTTCACAAAGGCCCATCTGAGCCTCCAGAGCAAAAATGTCTGTGAACTTTTAATACCTGAAGATTATTTCCTGCTTGCCTTTAAGCATTTGCTTCTCCAGCAAATACAAAGAGTTCAAAGCTGCTATGCCAAGTTTACTAATACACACAAAGAAGTATTTAATCAAGGTGTAAGAACAAAACTTTCAATTCATCACCAGCAACAAGCTGTGTCCTTCACCAACACAACATTTAGAGAGCTGGAGAATAACACAGAGGTGTTTTCTTAACAGAAAGAAAGAGAAAGCACAAAGCCATTTGGACATTTTCTTGGCTTTTTATCATCACTCTTAGCTAAATGGTTACCATAGGTTTGTTTGAGGGTTTTTTCCCTTTCACACCACTCATAAATAAAACATTTCGGCCTGTAGCTCTTTACAAAGATAACAGCAAGATCAAGGATGCTTCCCACCCACTGGAATCTTCCACTTCCCAGGAATCTGTTGAATGAGCAAGTATAAACCTTTGATTTCTTCACAACTGTGCATGTCACAAGCAGAGTCATGGCATTCTGCTATATTTAATTTAAATAGAAACTCTAATATCTTCAGAATTTTAGTGAACAAAATCACTGGGCTCAATAAATGTTCTGGGTGCCACATTTTACCTGAGACCAAAAGAAAATATAATGCGTGCAATTCTGCCTCAATGTGATGCCTTAAAGATGCCAACTCACAGTGCTGGTCTTGGAGAAAAAGGAATGGCTTGATCAAAACAGACCACATCACAGAGCACTACTCTGCACAAGTAGAAATGCATGTGGCAAACTTCCTCACAGAAAAAATATTCCATAAAATTTAAGCCTGGATCCCAAGCATCACATGCCAAGGAAAGAAATGCTGCACTAATGCCCATTTTTTTCATTGACTTACAAGAAGCCTCTACTGCTTCAGACTTCTTTCTGAAGGTGTCCTCTCCTGTTTTTTGACTGCTATCAGACTGTGAAGTCAGGCTTTAATGTGCCTCCCACCAACAGCCTTCAAATTAATTATTTTTAATATCTTTGGTACAGGTGGCTACACACAAACTTGGCCAGTTTCTGCGCGTGCTTACTACAGACTCTGGAATAACCATCTACTTGGGCTGTTCAGGTCTAACTTTCTGCATTCCTGGTCTCAATTTTCAACTTCAGACTACTCCCAGCATGATTTAAACTATATTAGAAAGCTCATGTTCAGATCAACTTCAGTAAACATGAACAACTTGGGTTAAAACATTCAGGAAGTCATAAAATTTGGTATGCAGGAATCTTTTCAAGACTCTCAAAACTAGGTTACAGTAAGATATTATGAAATTATTTTAAAACAGCTCATAAAAACCTCATTTTCTGATTTGCTGTCAACGGGGTCACATTAGTGTCACCAATAAATAAATGTATTTGCCTTTTCTTTCCTGTCGTGCAGAAACAGATAAATCTATTTAAGTATGAGCAATGAGGAATCTGGAAAATCATAAAGCTTTCCAATAAACCTTCTCATTGCTGTAATCCACCCACTGTCTTTCCTGAAAACCTTGTTCTAGCACAAGCATTTTACTGATTTAAAACAACCTGCAGAAACATCAGGAAGAGCCAAGTGAGCCAGGGCACATTAACTGTACTCAGCAAACATCTGTAATAAAAGCACAGTATATTGCTCTGGTTTCAGCTGGGAACAAAGAGAATGAAACTGGCTGCTCTGAGTACATAACCCAAAAGCAAAAGCCAACAATTGTCCACACCTCTTCTCTGGGAAAGGGCATTTGGGGCACACCCCTAGATTAAAATAGACAAAAGAAAGGGAAAGGAAGAAAACAGATCTTCACAGACTGGAGTTAGCACTTTCCTAAGAATATTTCACCACTCACGATATTTATATTGAGTTTGGGTAAAAAAATATGGGCTTTTAACATTCTCTCAGTCATCATTCTAGTGTATAGAATCTATCTGTAGCTCTACTAAGGCTGCATCAAAACTCTGCTCTCTTCATAAACTGCTCAGTGATGTTAATGCCAGAGATTTTTCAAATAAACATGTATTTTGTGGTAAATGCACTGACAGTGCTTTAAGCCAGATGTCAAACGTAAGTTTCTTTCGTGCCATGCAGTAACAGTCCTTCCACCTCAAGCCACAGAAAGGTAAAAAAGTAAGAAAGTAGTCCTCTTGTCAGTGTAAAAGAGGATTAAATGTGCATTCAATAGAAACTGCTTGGCTGAGGGGAAAAAAAAGAAAAAATAAATTCTGCTCAAAGAACTACAGCAGTAAATAAAGATTACAAAGACAGAAAAGAGGCAGCAGAAAGAAGGCATTTTTAACAAGTTGGAAATGGTTTTTCTGCCAGTATCTTTCAGCCAGTGTAATCTCTTCAACTGGTAAATTCAGATTTTACTTCAGGCACACACAGGTACAGCAGGATCTAGGGTGGGTTTATGTACCTAATTACAAGAACTAGTGCATAAACTGCTGCTCCTGGCTAATGTATATAAAAAATAAAAAGTTGCCCACAGGCTTCTATTTTGCTGAAAACCTCACACCTACTCATTGCATTAAAGACTGCTAAAATTTTAAAACTTCACTTATATATTTTGCCAAATCCCAACACAAGTGTCACACCAGGAAATGTTTCATATTACAGCAGAAGGAAGCCATAAGCTCGTACCTGTTGATGAGCATAAATCAGTATCTCTGTAACTTACAATCTGCTTCCCCAATTCAAAGTGTTTTAATTTTTCTAATTATTTTCACATGTTTTAATGATTTTTCACAGTGTTATTATATTTGTATTTGGCTTGACTTGATGTTTTTTCCACACTTCATTAATTAGAAACCATCATTTGCTTTTTCTTTAGTTTAAAAGAAGTCAATCCTCCTCTACCCAGGCAGTGTAATTTAAAAGTACTAAATCTCACTAGAGGACCTTTAATCTATGAAACAAAACAGGAAGGATTTGTTACAGTAAAACTTAATAGTGAGAACAGTTTGTGCGAGGTGCAATGACATCACTTTACTCACTTCCCACATGAGCCTGCAGTCTGTGCTCTCGTCCAGCTCCTGCGGCATTCGCTTCTCCCCTGCAAAGGGCCCAAACTTTTCACCCTAAGGCACAATTACAAAAGAAAAAGAATCAGTAGGGGGGTAAAAAGAAGAAGGCAAGTCAGTCATCAAACTCTAGCAGAGGAGTAATTTTTAGCCTCAAACAGGAAAGGAGAGTTTTCCTTTATTGTCCTACTATATGCCAAGAAGGTGCACATCCCTGAGGGTTCAACTTGAAGCTTATTCCCATTCTTCTCATACTCTGAAGAATCTAATAAAGCCATACCTTCCCTCTGCATGCTTATTTCTCCTTTGGGAAGCAGGATTTTTCTTTATCTTAAATAAGGCTGAAATATACAAGTCAAATTTCTTAAATTTCTTACAAAATTTTCAGGAAGCACCTTGCAACAGGCATCCAACTAAAACAAAGAACCTGGCATGCACCAAGTTGACATTAGATTTATTTGCAAGGCTATTTGCAACGCTACTTTTTGAAGTGCCACAAATCAAAAGACTGAATAACTAAGGGCTTGATCATACAGAGAGATTTGTTTAAAATGGTAAGAAAGTATGCACGTGCTTATGAATTAATTTGAGCCTCCATAAACAAAATTAAAATGTTCTACCACCTGCTAGTCATAACACCCGCCGTGAAAGCATCCATTGATATGTTCTTCCAAAAGTATTTGGCGTCAGGGTTTTTTTCCTGCACAGATGTCACAGGAGCAGCGGGGCAAATTTAATAGGACTTTCTTCTTCCACAGGCCCAACTTCCCCCCACACACACTGCCTTGTCCCTATTTGTAGGGACAGGCCCTAACACCTGGAATGTAGGATGCTGTGTTCTTTCAGGCAGCATTAAGATCCAAAAGCACTTATACTTTCAAGAATTAGAGATTTTAAGTGCATATTGAAAAGCAAGTTTGGTGTTTCTTTTAAAAACAACAGTATTTTGGTTAAAAAAAAGAATTGATCTTGTCCCTTCCTCCAGGCAAATTCCATATTCCCAGCAATAGCCTGCTACTTGCTTTTCTTCTTGCTTAGTTTTTACAGATTGCCTACAGGTAGAGTAGAGAAAAAGTGGAATGGAAAACATCCAGGACTGTTCCTCTTCGAAACAGGAAATCAAATTTTTTTTAGAAAAACAACCAACTTGTATTAAACCTGAAGAGGTAATAAACAAAGGAAAAGGAAATTGACATAAGGCAACAGAACTGGGGGACAAATTTTTAAATGTGCACAAAGAACATTTCACTACAAGGAACAGCAAAGCAGAAGGTTAAAACACAAGAACAGCAGAATTCAGTAACTGGAGCCCAGAGCAGCAAAGGAGCCAGACAGGGGCAGTGACAGTAAAAACTGGCACTCCAGAGCTTCATATCCTTAGCTCTCACTGATTTCCATACCACTATCCATCATTTTGCTGATCAATAATGCCAGAGCTCCTCCCCTGCCAGTTCTTCAAATCCTGGGATTCAATACTCATGCTGAAACTTCCTCCTTCTCTTACCTCATCGGCAAGGAAGGTGGAAATAGTTAAATACAGCCGTATGTGTACAGCACCTACAGTGTTCATTTCACCCATCGCTGAAGCACAGGAACAGCTCAGAACAACACCACACACCATTCCCAGCTCAGTACTCCAAACCAGGAAATCTCTACTGCAGTATTCAAGACCTTCTGGAAGCTCGGAACAACAGCAAAAGCAACCTGTCCACCTCTCAACACAGAGTAAACATAACATAAGCTGTAGGTGATGCAGATTTCTAAGCACTTTTTACGGCTTCTCAAATTTGGGGGGTAAGCAAAACCTGATGTCTTGGTCCATGGGGATAAGTTCAATTATTGTTTAGCCTTTCATGTTTAGCCTTTCAGATAATTTTCTTCATATATATACATATATATATATATATATATATATATATATATATATATATATATATAAACACACATATTATTTCTGGTTAATAACCATGTTGTTAGATGCCAACAGACATTAATCAAAAACACACTCAAGACTTCAGCTTCCCCTCTGCTCAATAAAAGCAAGGCGTACAACACAGTCTGAAGGCAGAGAAATTATTCAGGATATAAACACACATTTTTCCACCGCTGAAAAAACTATTTTCAACAGTTGCTTTCAAAAAAGCAGCTGTGGCTAATCTTCCAGTTGCAGCAAAACCCTGAGAAATGCAATGGCTCTCTGATGATTACACCGAGAGCCTCAGGATGTGAGCGCTCTGCAGCCTGAGGCCAGCTCATGGAAAACAGAAGGTACACGGGAATCACAGCTTTGTTAAGGCAACAAAACAAAAAGTTTGCACCTTTTATGATTACAAACAAAATTTTGAAAGCCCTGGATGCCTGAAGGTGCACAAGCAGATGACAGGCAGCAGCAGTTCAGAATGTATTATTACCAAAACTTTGCTAACAGCAGAATTTTCAGAGGCCTCCACAACACTTGGAGAGCTGGTACTGCAATTTCTGATTATAAGATCATCCAATTTTTTTTTTTTTTTTTTTTTTTTTTTTTTTTTTTTTTTTTTTTTTTTTTTTTTTTTTTTTTTCAGTTCAACAACTGCAATTGTGTGACAGCAACAGGGAGAAAACAGTGCAGTATTTCCTACTCAGCAACTTAGGTCTTACTTCACAATAAAGTGTCACATTCAACACCTCCTCCCAGTCCCAAAACTCCATGGAAATTATTTAACAGCTATAAGCTACTCTTTATCACAGCCACAAAGTCTGACACTTCTGCCTCATTACTAGGCAGGCGAACAGGTCAAGAGCACTTCAGGTGTGAATCTTCTTTCCATGGAAAAGACTAACATGGAGTCTGGCTGTGTCCAGTGTACCACCTGTTTTATTTACACATCCACCCTTCTCCCAGCAGAGAACACAGGACTTAGGTCTCCAACGTATTTTAGGAGTATATTGTAATACACCACAGAGCAACTCAAGAGTTGGTTCCTCTGCCTGTTCTTCTGACCAGGGCTCCGCACACCACAGCTGGCTGTGCTGCCAGCACAGAGGACTCAGTGCCAAAGGACAGGTCTGTAACAAACACTGTCACCAGACACTCCTAATACAAACAGATCCTACTGCAGCTGCCTCTGCCTTCTGCAGTCCACATGAAGTACACAGCACACTTCCAACACTTTTTCTAGGTGATTGCACAGCTCCGACCTCATACGCTTTGCCTGTGTGAAGGTCCTAAGTAAGGTGGAATAATTTAGGCAGGAAGAGCTGTATTCGTTTCAGCATGCAGCTCTAATGGCTCAATTGGCAATAGTGTAACGCAGGGAAGCTCAGATCCCCGGCTCTGAACTGGGGACGCTGATTCCCACGAGTTTCACTCTATTTCAGAGTCCAGAGATTAACAAATGTAAATCGTGTACAACCTTCCTTGCTGTGTGAACCCAGAAAGTTTTGAAATGGAACTTCAGAACCTCAGTAGAAAAGTTTTAAAGAATGAAACCAAACGAAATAAAATAGTTCCCTTCCGGTCCCCTTAACACTCAGGGGCACCTTAAAAACGTGAGACCTCCACCCCATCTAGTATAAGTCCTGTTGATGAAACCAGTGAAAAATTACAAAAAAAAAAAAAAAAAAATCAGAGCCAAAACGAGGACAAAGATGGACGGCAAAACATACAAAACACAGAAAAGTGTATGTATACTAATGATGGGTTCATAGTTTTAGTATGCCTTTATGTGTCCTAACAAGCCACCTGGAAAGTCTCAGCTGGAATTTCACATGGTCAAGATACTTTCAATTCCGAAGTGTGAAGAGGGGGCATCACCTGGTTGGAGTACGAGACTCGGTTCAGCCGAATGACATCGTTCAAGGGCCCGGCTTTTTTACGCCGAAAAAAGGAAGGAAACCACGGTCGTGCCGAGCCCGGAGAGCCGTGAGGGAGGCGACGGGAGAGCTCCGGGCTCCCCCTGCCCTCAGGGAGGCGGTCCCGCCCGGGGGAGCTCTGCCCTCAAAACTGTGCCAGACTTTACACAAACCGAGTTTAAAAATAAATAAATAAATCACAAAACGGAGAAAATAAAATTCCTCACAGCAAACCCTCCGCCGGCCCCCGCGCCCCTTCCCGCCTGAGGCGGCGGCGCCCCGGGAGGCTCCTCGCGCCGGGAGGGGGCAGCGGGCGGGCGGCGCCTCCGTGAGCTCCGGGAGCCAGGGGGAGCCCGGGCGGGCACAGCGCGGCTCAGGCGAACTTGGAGCGGGGCAGAGGGGCGGGAGAGCCGCCCAACTCCCCGGTGATACGTGGCAGCCGCTCCCCGCCGGGCCGGGCCAGGCCGTTCCCCCGCCATCACCCACCTTCTTCACTCTGCGGGCCGTGTAGAGCCCCATCCCGTCCTGCACCCGGGACGACTTCAGGGCGAACCTATCCGGCACGTACATGCCCAGCATTTTTGCACCGAACTCGGGGCCCGCCGCCTGCTACCGGGGAGAAGGAAGAGGCTTACGGGGGGACTTCCATCCCACCGGGAGCGGCGAGCGGGAGTCCGGGGGAGGGGGCAGGAAGAGGGGCTGGATGCGGGGGCTCCCCCGGCTCCTGAGGGGAGGGGCCAGCGCGCGCGGCGGGGCGGGGCGGGGCGGCCGCAGGGGGCGCGCGCGCCCGGCGGGGCAGCGGCGCCGTGAGGGGACGGCGCCGTGAGGGGACGGCGGCCGCCCGCCCGGGCTTCGGTCCCGCTCGGGTTTGTGTCCCGCTCGGGTTTGTGTCCCGCCCGGGTTTGTGTCCCGCCCGGGCTTCGGTCCCGTCCGGGCTTGTGTCCCGCCCGGGCTTGTGTCCCGCCCGGGCTTGTGTCCCGCCCGGGCTTGTCCCCGCCTCGGATTTGTGTCCCGCCTCGGGCTTGTCACCCGCCCGGGTTTGTCGCCCCTCATTTGTCGTGTTCCACCAACGCGTGAGGGCAGCTCCGCTTGGAAACCAAGTAATCCTTCGCTTTCGGGGGTTGGTTCTGAGGGAGCGCGGATCTGAAGGCAGAAATCGG